ATGGAGTTACCAAAAAACTGGAAGGACAAGGTGTTGTATGGCAAATACCTGAAAACAACGAAAGAAAGCAGATGTAGACTAACAGAAAACACATCAGTGGCTGAGGAGCATCTGGTTGAAAGCTGAGACAAAAAGGCCTAATTATTGCAACTCAGGACCAATGCCTTGCAACCAAATCCTGTCACAATCACATAACCAAAGATGGAACTAAACCGAAATGCAGAATCTGTGGAAAATATGATGAAACTGTCGACCATATTATCTCAAAGTGTCTGGAAGAAGCCAAAAATGAATCTACCCACAGACATAACAAGGTAGCGACATATGTGCACTGGAAGATATGCATGAAGCACATAATCGAGAGATGGTATGGGAACAGTTACCCAACAATAACAAAGTAATTATTCTCTGGGATATGCCAATTCAAACTGGCAGGAAATTAAAAAACAGAACTGATATTATCATAAAAGACAAGAAATTCAGGAAATCTATGCTTATTGACATAGCAGTACCATCTGAGAGAAACACCTCCATGAAAATTAACGAGAAACTGTCCAAATACAAGGACCTAGAGATTGAAATTAACAGGATGCGGGAGATGTAAACTGAGACTGTACCAATAGTAATCGGAGCTCTGGGCATCGTGAGAAAAGGGATGGACAAGTTTATTAACAGTGTCCCAGGTAACATCAACATACAGGTTGCCCAGAAAATCGCCCTACTAGGAACATCCCATATATTAAGAAATGTGCTATCAATTAAATGACAATTTTCTTATAGGGTCTAAGGACCATAGTTTGGAACCGGCTCTACAGGATACAAAGCAGGAAGCATAACATATACAAATAATAATAATAATAATAATGTGAAATTGTATTCAATGCAGAAACTGGACATCTTTGCTATTGTTGTTAGTTCTCTGGGCACAATAAATACTAAACTGGGGATCAAAGTCAATATTGGCTCCCTGCAGAGGACTGCATTCCTTGGGCCTGCTCGTATACTTTGCCGAAGATTTCTGGAATCATGATGAAAATGTGCCACCCCAGTTCACTGAACAGCTGGCACTTTGGTCCTATCTCCAGTAAAATTTGGTCTGCTTGCTAATAATAATAATAATAATAATAATAATAATAATAATAAGGGGCTTGGTCACCATCCTATTACTACTAGAATAAGGAAAAGAAAATGTTCTCAAGATGTAAATAGAACTCTGATAGTGTCGTTATAGAAGTGAACCAACCGTAACAGGATATATATATATATATATATATATATATATATATATATATATATATATATATATATATATATATATATATAAACAATGCATGTGACCTGGAAAGAGAAAGGCATATCCAATGGAAAAGAGCAAAGGCTTTTACATAAAAAAAATACCATATACTAAGAAAAGTACTATCAATTAAATGACAATTATCCTATAGGGCTTAAGATCCATAGTTTTTACCCGACTCAATTCTTAAAAAGGTGCTCAATACAGAGGAGAGCAAATATAATTTATTTATGTTTTCAAACATGCTTGAATGAAAATATGGTGCCTAAATACACACACACACACACACACACATATATATATATATATATATATATATATAATTTATTCGAAAATTATAGCATAAATAAGTTATAAAATCATTACAAAAATAGCCATTTTTTTTCAACACTTCTGCTGTCTTTTCAAGTGATGGTTTTGAATGTAGAACTTTCTACATTCAACATTATCACTTTGTAAGACAATTGAAATGTTGAAACAAAAATGGCTATTTTGTAGTGATTTTATAACTTATTTATGTTATAATTCGAATAAATTATATATATATATATATATATATATATATATATATATATATATATATATATATATATATATGTGTGTGTGTGTGTGTGTGTGTATTTAGGCACCATATTTTCATTCAAGCATGTTTGAAAAATCTAGACATATTATGTCTCTGTATTTTATTTGAATCCTCTTATGTTCGCATATCAATTTCTTGATGGAGAAAAACGGCGTATCTATTTTTATATTTTTTTTTATTTTTCCAAGTAGTTTCAATGCGATTCAAGATCATCTTCAGGGGAGAATTGCTGAGACAAAGAATTAATGCAAGTCATGAAAATGCATTAGTTTGAACTCTGTTAAATTCGAAAATTTTTTCCGCTATTTAAGGAAGGCAATTTAATTTATGTAAATTCTTATTAAAAATATAATTACGTGTTTTAAAATAGTTTTTAATTGTAAATTTTAACCGTTACAATTTACATATTTTAAAACCTTAATGTTATAAACATTATAGAAGTTTGTGGCTATACTCATAATTGACTTTTGGAGGGTAATTTTTTATGTCAAGGGCTTCCAGAAGTTTTTCTTTTTTTTCATGGTGAAATATACTTAAATTAATTGTCAGTTAATATTTCTCTTAATCGTGAATATGGACAGAAATGCTCTTTTAATATTGTGAGATGTTTAATGGATGTCAGTTATCAGTTATCTCCTGTTAATTCCCCTTTCCAAGTTCTCCACTGCCTTAACCGGGCATTGAACTCACACTATTTGGGTCCTGTCACTAGATCTAACCAACGCCTTTATCTAATATGTCATGTGTCCTTGAGGACATCTGTGTATGAATTTCTGGGTATTATAAACCTAATGTCTCAGCAGCCATTTTTTACTAGGTTAAGGCAGTGGAGAACATTCAGAGGAAAATTAACAGGAGATAACTGATAAGTGACATCCATTAATCATGGCACATGGAACTAGAATAGTCTACCCCAGCGAGCGAAATAAAGGGTTCAGTTCGACATTCCAACCACCTGAAGAAGGCTGGAGCGTACAACAGCCGAAACGTTGTAATAAATATGGCGACAAAGATAAGGACAATAGTCCGAATAATGTAAATAGTGTACATAATACCTCATCTTATAAATATAGACAGATACCAGTGAAATTCAAGTTCAAATAGTCTTCTGGTTTGATAACTCCGTGTAAAAACATTTTCACTGGTTACCTTTTGACGCCAATGGACACTTGGGTGGTTTGAAAAGTAGTTTTACTCCATGACCCATGGTGATATCAGTATACCAATTCTATGTTCTAAATTTCGTTTACTGATTCAAACGGGTGATTTGAATAAATTAAAATCTGGGCGTAATTTCTTAGGGTTCTTCGTAATTTTGGCGTGATAATGAAATAAGATTAAATAGTAAAATAATTGTCTTTATAAAAACGAAATAAGTTCTTAAGGAACATTTTCGGCAATGGAGAGCACGTTTAGTGGACGATTCTTGCTCACTATTATACTGTTTAAAACTTTTGACGATGAAACCCATTTCATTCTTTCTATCTCATTCTGTGCATATCTATCTATCTATCTATCTATCTATCTATATGTTTGTCTATTTATCTATCTATCTCATTCTGTACACATCTATTTATCTGCCTATCTATCTTATTTTCACATCTCTATCTATCTATCTAGCTAGCTAGCTATCTCATTCTGAACACATTTATATATCTATCTGTCTATCTTATTTTTACTTCTCTCTATCTATCTAACTCATTTGGTACACATATATCTATCTATCTATCTATCTATCTATCTATCTATCTATCTATCTATCTCATTCTGTACATATCTATCTATCTATCTCATTCTGTACATATCTGTCTGTCTATCTATCTCATTCTGTACTTATCTATCTATCTATCTATCTATCTATCTATCTATCTATCTATCTATCTATCTATCTATCTATTTATTTGTGTTTCAGTATGTCCAGAGACTCTCCCTTTCTCTCCCTCTCTATCTATCTATCTATCTATCTATCTATCTATCTATCTATCTATCTATCTATCTATCTCAGTTTTGTTCATAGTCTCATAAACCATTACTTCTCGAGTGAGTTGTATATTTCTTTCATACACCAAACGCATGGCTTTATGTCTTACTAAGCAAAATATAATAATAATAATAATAATAATAATAATAATAATAATAAGAAGAAGAAGAAGAAGACGGTAGAAAAAATGATAAATAAATAACTCTAAAAATTACAAATATCCTATTAATAATTGAATAAGTTTCCACCGAAATTCTCTATGGGTATGCTACCCGCGGGAAATGCGGGTCAGACCATAGTCTCTATAGTGGCAAGCTAGTGAAAGGCAGTATGAAGACTACCAGCTCAATTAAATACCTCTGGGTATGGAAGGTTTTCTGCTTTACACTGCTTCGGGCGAATCCAGGGCAACGTCGAGCACCTGTATGTTCTCTGTCTTACCCCAGGGTATAGCAATTCAAAACCTGAATAAAAACAATAACAACAACAAAGCAAAAACAACAACAAAAAATGACTGACATATTTCCATTACTGAAAAACTTTAGTACAACAAGACTATTCTGTCTTACCGAAGACTGACACAAGGCCAGTCCAGTATGTGTGATAGTGGCTTGACATTTCTGAAACTAACTGGGACCTAATTGCCAATCTAGTAGAATGTTTAAATTCATGCAGTCGTGCTTACCAAGGTAGAAAACTCGTCAGAAACATTGCCAGAAATGACAAAAGTATCGGCGAGAAAGTGATTGAAGGAGAGATGCCTGATCATGATCGATTACATTGCAGACCCTTCTTTGGATTTTCTCTAGTATCTCGAGATATATAATAGGAAAACCAAACCATATATTGCCTCAATATTTAATGAACGTACAAATGGTAGATTTATAAATGTGCAAGGTGGATTCTGACGATAAAAATTGTCTGGCACGACACAGTGAACCAACTTATGTGTGAACACTGCCGTCGATTTTCACGTATGGTGGCCAAACAGTTCAGCTTTTAGGACTGAACCACCAAGCTACTCACACAGGTAGTTATTTATTTATCTTTTTTTTTTCTATCGTCTTCAACTTCTTCTTCTTCTTCTTCTTCTTCTTCTTCTTCTTCTTATTATTATTATTATTATTATTATTATATTTTGCTTAGTAAGACATAAAGCCATGCGTTTGGTGTATGAAAGAAATATACAACTCACTCGAGAAGTAATGGTTTATGAGACTATGAACAAAACTGAGATAGATAGATAGATAGATAGATAGATAGATAGATAGATAGATAGATAGATAGGGAGGGAGAGAAAGGGAGAGTCGCTGGGCATACTGAAACACAAATAAATAGATACACACACACACACACACACACACACACATATATATATATATATATATATATAGATAGATAGATAGATAGATAGATAGATAGATAGATAGATAGATATGAAAAGATTGAGATAGCGTGAAAGATAATATGTGACTGAGTAAATATGGAAGGACTGATAGATAGATAGATAGATAGATAGATAGATAGATAGATAGATAGATAGATAGATAGGGAGGGAGAGAAAGGGAGAGTCGCTGGGCATACTGAAACACAAATAAATAGATACACACACACACACACACACACACACACACATATATATATATATATATATATATAGATAGATAGATAGATAGATAGATAGATAGATAGATTGAGATAGCGTGAAAGATAATATGTGACTGAGTAAATATGGAAGGACTGATAGATAGATAGATAGATAGATAGATAGATAGATAGATAGATAGATAGATAGATAAAGAGAGATAGAGAGAGAAAGGGTATCCTTGTGCAAATTAATTGAAACCAAACGAATAATTTTTTTCGTATTTTTCCAATTAAACAAGACCCAGTGCCCATGCTAGTAATTCGTATTGTCCATTCCACAAAGTCGTTATTGGCCACAAATTCTCGATTGGATTTAAATCAGGAGTGTTTCCGGGCTACTTTACAGTAAGTTTCTAAACAGTCCTGTAATTCTAATTGTTCCTTCTCCTAGACTTGATGGCAGCTAAGGCTAGAGATGCAACTCTATCTTGCTATTTGAGTCATACCTGGACAGAGAAGAAATGGGTTTATATCTTACCCAAGGGTAAAAGAAAAGAGTACTGCGCTGTTACGTGACATCTGTCCTCCTTTACGGTAGCGAATGTTGGACGATCTCCTCAAAGATAAAGTAGAGACTCTAGGCGATGGAGATGTGGTTCTACAGAAGGATGCTGAGGATATCATGGACCGAACGTGTGAGCAACGATGAGATCTGAAATAGGTTGCAAACAGGCTTATACTTAATATCAGGATGTTTCTGGGACACATAATGAGGAAGAAAGGCCTGGAAAATATGATTCTCACGGGTCGAATAGAGGGAAGGAGAGACAAGGGAAGACAACACCTGGTGGACTTAAGAAAGTGGGTGATAGAACGTGGTCTGGGGGAGGAAGCAGAGGGAAGGAACTTGTTGAGGGCAGCAAGGGATAGAGGGTGATGGAGAGACATGATCGCCTACATCCTGAAAGGACATTGCAAATAAAAAGAAAGAATGAAGTCTTTGCATATTGTCAGTATCGGAAGGTATGCCGGCTGCCATTTGATCTGGGTTTTCAGTTGCGCAGGACTTTCTTTCCCTTGCTGCAGCTTTGTCTATTTTGATTGCAATCTGGCCCTCTGATGGCGGCGATTTCTTTTTGCGAGGCGTACTGAAGAACTCAAAACTTTCTGTCCAAACATGCATGCGAGGCATACAGTAGAACTGAAAAAAAATTCTTTGCAAACAGTTATTTTCATTTCATGTCTGACTTTCGCCGGATTTCGCAAATAAATTTCGATTATTCCCAAATTTATTTCCAAGTTATAAAAATTGTTATCGTACAAAAATTTTGTCGCAAAAAAAAAAAAAAAAAAAATCACGTAAAAATTCGCTAAAAACAATAGCAGTAATGAAAACTTGGGAATCCAAAATTTCAAGGTTGAGGTACCAGATCCGGCCCGGAATATTTTTAATTTGCGACGGATTCGGCCTGATTCTGATGTTGCTTCTAGGAGTAAAGTTGAAAAAAGTCTGGCACCCTGACATTGGTACTTTTCTTCTTTTTTTTTTTTTTTTCACCTCTAGCAAGTCGGGAAGGCACTAGCACGCAAGGGGTTACAGAGGATTTGGAGCATGAGCAGAATGTTAGAGGAAAGGATGAGGAGAAGGATAGGGGATAGATCAAGACAACTGGAGATGTCGATTGACATTACATTTGAATAGTTGGAGATTATAGCTCTGAGGGAAACAGGAAAAGGAAGGGAGTTCCACAGGTGAGAGGTGCGAGACATGAAGTTATTGGAGTAGAAGAGGCGGCTACATTTAACAATTTCAACAGTAAAAGGGTGAGTGCTGGATGCCAACCTCGTAGGACGCTTGCAATCGAAAAGCAAACAACTATGGGGATCAAATATTTGGTAGCCATAAATCGGACTCATGTGTGATTCTCAAATCTTCTGTAGGTTCCTCTCCATTCAGTGACCAAAATTAGATGTTTTTTTCATTATGGTTGCATGGCACTTCATCTGTTTGGATCTTGTCTCAGGAAGTTGGGGACAAGTCGTACGGCATGAAACAAAAACAAATACAACAATAATAATAATAATAATAGTAAACAGATCAATCCAGGTGTGGTATTTTTTAAAAGGGAAAACTTACCAGATCTTGGATGGGATTGTGTCTAAAAATCACCAAATGAAAGCGAAGAAAAGTGAAAAATTCGAGAAATACCAGGACCTTGCTCGGGAGCTGAATGCATGAATTGGGTTTTTACTTGGAATTGTGAGCAAAACACTGTAATCGATCGTGGATGAGTTAGAAAATCCGAAGTAGATTTGAGATTTCACTGACGGCGGCTTTGCTGGGGTGACCCCGGATACTGTGAATGTTCCTTGAATATTAAGCTACATTAAAAAGGAAAATAAATAAAAGTCCACAGTGATGATTCCCAGACCACTTATGTGAATATGGGAATGTAGGAATAATAATAATAATAATAATAATAATAATAATAATAATAATAAGAAGAAGAAGAAGAAGAAGAAGAAGAAGAAGAAGAAGAAAAGGAGAAGGAAATAATTCGTAAATACTACACAAGATATGGTTGTCATGGCTTATGATTTCAATGGATTGCAAGTGTAATTAAATCATCATCAGGTCAAGAATTCTTCTTAGATTCTCCTGGCATGTTCCTTCCAACCATCTCTGTCAGACACGACCGTCGGCAGGTCCTCCAGATGGCATCCAGAGTCATCTATATCTTAGTCAATGTAGGTGTGATCAGGGCTTATCTACATATTTTATCCTTTGTGAATTAAAATGGGTTACAGTAAAAAACTGAACCATAGAATTGCTTCTCAGTTCCCCGTTATTAACCAACTGGGCATGTCCCTAAAGGATGACGCATTGGGCAACTGTCCATGAGCGGAATAGCTGGCTGTTGAGAGGGTTTTATTAAAGTTAGAAGGATGAGGCAGCCAAGGTGACTTTGGAGTCACAACTAGATACTTGGAAGCACTGACAATCGGAGACCTTCTGAGTGGATTGGGTTACTGAAGACATTCAAAACTGGACCCCACCTGCAATGTGGCTTTTTTTCAAAGCCTCTCACCATATCGCCGACATTTTGCTGTGATGCATGTGCTTCGTATACCCTTAGATTGGTTGTCATGAGTGGCATATTGAGCAACTCTAGAAATGATATATGGAGACTTGCCGAGAGTATCAACCTTAGTTTGCAAAAGACGTGTCCAGTTCGCCGGGCGTTGTGCACGTGCCACAGATGAACTTGTGTCATCATTTGTACTCTGGAGGCACCCATCATCTGACAATCGATCACGCAAGTTAACCTTTCCAGATAGGATAAAACGAGACACATTGATCCCCAAGGAAGATCTTTTAGGTGCTATGACAGATAGGGAATACTGGAGAGGTGTAGTGAGTTCAATCTCGGCTGAGGCCGCAGGATGATGATGATGATTGAGCATCGTGTATTTGTAAAACAGCGCCACGTTGTTGATTTGCTGCTGCCTCTCCCTCTGCTCTCTTTTTCTCTCTTTTTCTCTCTCAACAACAAATATAATAATAATAATAATAATAATAATAATAATAATAATAATGATAGCTCGTGCATATTGTAACGTATCTTTGAAGACCTTCAAAAAAACAATCAAAGTACAAAGATCATGAAGTAGAAATCTCAAAATTGGGGCCCATGATCATATCAATAATTCCAATTGGAGTCGGGACTACAGGTTGATTGGAAAAGGTTCCGATAGACTTATTCAAGGGATTCCTGTTAACTCAAGCAAAAAACAAAAAAAACTTCTACTCACAGCTACAAACCATACATTACGAAGATCTTCATCTATGGAAAATGTGTGATCTTCGGTGTTTCATTTCTTTCTTTTTTTTCAAAAAAGTTTGTGATGATGCCATTTCTGACCTCAGGTCTCTGGTTGGTACTCGGAATGAAATGTGTATGCAACAAAAATAAAAATAAAATAATAATAATAATAATAATAATAATAATCTACCAGGCATCTGCATCTCAACCATATCACACGTATTTGGCTGCAAGATATGTCGGTTGCAGACGTTGGCTTAGGTGCATTTGTGTTTATTCAACACCCAGAGCCCGCCTGTGTTTTTTTTTTTTTTTTTTACTGCAACTATACTGAGCAGAGCTGGGAGAGAGCGTGTTATCTAGCGTGATCAACAATCTGAACAAGGCCAGCACTCTCAATCCCTCAGTCACGATGACTTGTGACTTAGTGCTAGCACAGCTGTCGACGGCATCCAAGGGTTCCGTCTAACCAATTTCACTCACAAGGCTTGGGTCAAACCGCGGTATGATTTTCGGGTACTTTCCGAAGGTGCCGTAAGCTGGGATCGTCCCCGATCCAGTCCTATAACATCAGGAAGTCTCCTTCCTAATAAATCGACCATGGTGAGAATCGAACCCGAGTCTCATGGTCGAAATGCGAACGTTTTAACCACTCGGTCACGTACCAAAAACAACAACAGCAACAATAGTAATAATAATAATAATAAGAAGAGGATCATTTTTTTAAAGTTTCAACATGAGGACGCCAAGGTGACTTTTAAATCTAAAAATCACGATCCTTCTAATATTTGAAGCAGATCCAACCAAAATGTATTATATAACCCTATTCTTTCATAGCGAAACAATGGTAAGTTAAAAAAAAAAAAAAAAAAAAAAACAATAATAAAAACAAAACCTGAAATAAATCAAAGAATAGAAGGTGTGGGGAGTGGGGAACAACAAGAAATTAAAAACTAAAAAAAACAAATTACCTGAAGAATGGTCGACATTAGCATGAGGAAACAGGTCAGGAAGCAGTCAGAAAATGTCCTCCACAGACATTTTAAGGTCACCGAGTACGTCTAAGGGATTGTGAAAAAAATCAGGAATCTATCTTGGTTAGAAATGAAAATCTCAGGAGGAATTCCTCTTGATTCTTTCATCCATTTTCTTTCATAGTATACCGCGCTTTTGAAAATCTGATATGAAATAAAAATCAACCAGAGTTAAAAGTTTGGGGACTAAGAGGCTCATGTTTGAGCACACACAAGCACAAACATACATACATACAAATAGATAGATAGATAGATAGATAGATAGATAGATAGATAGATGTGAATAGACTGAGATAGATAGATAGATAGATGTGAATAGACTTAGATAGATAGATAGATAGATAGATAGATAGATAGATAGATAGATAGATAGATAGATAGATAGATGTGAATAGACTTAGATAGATAGATAGATAGATAGATGTGAATAGACTGAGATAGCTAGCTAGATAGATAGATGTGAATAGACTTAGATAGATAGATAGATGTGAATAGACTTAGATAGATAGATAGATAGATAGATAGATAGATAGATAGATAGATAGATGTGAATAGACTGAGATAGATAGATAGATAGATAGATAGATGTGAATAGACTGAGATAGCTAGCTAGATAGATAGATGTGAATAGACTTAGATAGATAGATAGATGTGAATAGACTTAGATAGATAGATAGATAGATAGATAGATAGATAGATGTGAATAGACTGAGATAGATAGATAGATAGATAGATAGATAGATAGATAGATAGATGTGAATAGACTGAGATAGCTAGCTAGATAGATGTGAATAGACTTAGATAGATAGATAGATAGATAGATGATGAATATAAATATATATATATATATATATATATATATATATATATATATATATGACATCAATAGCAAAACATATTTCCACAAATCGTTTCACCAGGAACTTCTGGAAAATCTAGTGCAAGCAGTTTTTTTTAATTACATTGCATGATATCAGGAGACAACATTATTATTAGTACATTTATTACAACATTACTTACATCTTATCTTGTACTATAATAATAATAATAATAATAATAATAATAATATATATATATATATATATATATATATATATATATATATATATATATATATATAGGACGAATATTTTCTATGAACATTTCTCGGAGATTCAGGCCGGTAAATGTTATTAATACTGTTTATTATAAAACAGAGCATTTGCTTAAATATTTGTATCTATAAAAAGAATGTATAAACATAAAAATATCTTTAAAATAATTGTCTGACTTTTTGCATTTTATAATATATATATATATATATATATATATACCGTGTGTAAGAGTAAAAAAAAATCGTGTAAAAGCCAAATTGTCCAATTGTTAGAATAAGCTTTGAACCGTTGTATCTTAGAAACGATTAAAGGAATTCCCCGAAGTTTTTATGACACTATTAGATTCTACTTTAAACAACAACAATGTATAATTGCTCTTTAAGCTTAGCAGAAAAATCGTGATGAAATCGATCATAAACGAAAATGACATGTTCATCATTAATTAATCATAGCTATGGATCAG